GGGGGGCGGGGGAGAGAACCTCATGTCTCCGCTGGCCGAACTGTTTTCAAGTTGGAAGCCGGAAAGCAGAAGCGTTGGAACGGGCTGACCGGAACAAACCCATCAGTGACCGGTGCGGAGGGCCGAGTGCGCCGGCCGGGGTTGCAAGGTGCCTCCCTCTGTGGAAAGCAAGCGCCTCAAACGAGCCTCCAAGCGGCGCCCGGCCATGTTCACTTGGCCAAGGCAAGGGACGATTGTCGAGTGCAGATATGAGCCCTGGGGGCTGTGTGCATGCCCTTAAAGGTTGTCAGCTTTCTTCCATCCTAACACCCACAACTCCTCAAATGGTGTGTCTTGCAGTCATACACTGAGACATCCCAGGTGCATCCATCTGCATGAGTGTATCCAGATTTTCAGGCTTTTGTGTGGTCAGGTCAGGTGGTGGTGTCTGCTCCCCTGTGACCTGTCCCTGTTCAGCATGCTTTTTTAAAAATCCAGTTCTTTGTTTTTAAGGAAAGCATCTCCCAAAGGTTTTGAGAACTGGCCAGGGTAGAAGCTTGTGATTACTATGAGCACCTTGCAGATCCCCATTTGCAGAAGCCAAACTTATATTTATTTCATGATTCTGGAACCTGGCCACTTTAGAAATCAACCAAAGTGGTGTAGAGTATTGGACCCAAATGACCTGCATCCAGATTCCTCTTGAACTGTGACATTCATTGAGTAAGGGGCCCATCACTGTGTCTCACTCAGAGGATTGTGGTTAGGATAGAAACTGTATGTGTGAAGTTTGGAAGATTATGTAATGTTTTTGAGCTCACTGACAGAAGGCTAGGACAGAATCAAAGTGTACCTGTATCTCATGTTACATGTATTGCAAGAGGAAGGAGTATTTACATACAGGAAATATGCACTGAGGAACAAAACCAAAGCTTTCCTGGGACAAGATTTGTGATCCGGTCACACCCTTGTTGTGTAGCATTATGTTGCCACAAAAGCCAGTTGCTGGGAGTATGAAGTTGCTGTTATTTTTGAGAGGGAGTCAGCGGGTACTCACCATGGCAGTATTGCAGTTTATCCTGTTGGAATTAATTGGAATAAAGTAAAAGTCTGTGTATTAATATGACAGTTAACAGGTTTATTTCTGTTTAATGGATTCAGCAGCAGATGTTTGCCCAGTATATAGAAGTGGGCCTGGTCAAAATGCCAGTTCATTTTAAAAAGTTTTATATGTAGGTTATTTCCCTGATTCTTAAACTGACTATTTTGATTGTGTTCGAAATGATTCAATAACCCAAGCATGTTTGCTGGGGTAAGCAGTACTTTTTAGAATGATCTGTAATCCTGTTTCTATGATGCTGACGCAGTATTCAGATTTTGATTTTATGACAGACCCCTTTA